AAAAAAAAAAAAAAAAAAAAACATAATCCATCATATAAACAGAACCAAAGACAAAAACCACATGATTATCTCAATAGATGTAGAGAAGACCTTCGACAAAATTCAGTGACCCTTTATGCTAAAACTTTCAATAAACTAGGTATCAATGGAACATATCTCAAAATAGTAAAAGCTATTTATGACAAACCCACAGCCAATATCATACTGAATGGACAAAAACTGGAAGAATTCCCCTTGAAAACTGGCAATAGACAAGGATGCCCTCTCTCACCACTCCTATTCAATATAGTGTTGGAAGTTCTAGGCAGGGTAATCAGGCAAGAAAAAGAAATAAACCATATTCAATTAGGAAAGGAGGAAGTCAAATTGCCTCTATTTGCAGATGACATGATTGTGTATTTAGAAGACCCCATTGTCTCTGCCCAAAATTTCCTGAAGCTGATAAGCAACTTCAGCAAAGTCTCAGGATACAAAATCAATGTACAGAAACCACAAGCATTCCTATACACCAATAACAGACTTAAAGAGAGCCAAATCATGAGCGAACTGCCATTCACGATTGCTACAAAGAAAATAAAATACCTAGGAATACAACTAACAAAGGAGGTAAAGGACCTCTTCAAGGAGAACTACAAACCACTGCTCAATGAAATAAGAGAAGATACAAATAAATGGAAAAACATTCCATGCTCATGGTTAGGAAGAATCAATATTGTGAAAATGGCCACACAGCCCAAAGTAATGTATAGATTGAACGCTATCCTCATCAAGCTATCATTGACCTTCTTCACAGAACTGGAAAAAAACCACTTTAAACTTTATGTAGAACCAAAAGAGAGCCTGCATAGCCAAGACAATTCTAAATAAAAAGAAGAGGCATCACACTACCTGACTTCAAACTATACTACAAGCCTACAGTAATCAAAACAGCCTGGTACTGGTACCAAAACAGAGATATAGACCAATGGAACAGAACAGAGGCCTTGGAGCAATATCACACATCTACAACCATCTGATCTTTGACAAACCTGACCAAAAAAAAAGCAATGGGTAAAGGATTCCCTGTTTAATAAATAGTGTTAGGAAAACTGGCAAGCCATGTGCAGAAGGCAGAAACTGGACCCATTCCTTATACCTTACACTAAGATTAACTCCAGATTGATTAAAGATTTAAACATAAGACCTAACACCATAAAAACCCTAGAAGAAAACATAGGCAATACCATTCAGGACATAGACATAGGTAAGGACTTCATGACTAAAACACCAAAAGCAATCGCAACAAAAGCCAAAATAGACAAATGGGATCTAATTAAACTGCAAGTTTCTGTACAGCAAAAGAAACAATCGTTAGAGTGAACCGGCAGCCAACAAAATGGGAAAAACTTTTTGCAAGCTACTCATCTGACAAAGGGCTAGTATCCAGAATCTACAAAGAGCTAAAACAGATTTACAGGAAAAAAAAACAAACACGCACACCCGAAAGTAGGTGAAGGCTATGAACAGACACTTTTCAAAAGAAGACATTTATGAGGCTAAGAAACATATGAAAAAAAGGTCATTGTGACTGGTCATTTGAGAAATGCAAATCAAAACCACATTGAGATACCATCTCACGCTGGTCAGAATGGCAATCATTAAAAAATATGGAGACAGCGATTCCTCAAGGACATAGAAATAGAAATTCCATTTGACCCAGCAATCCCGTTACTGGGTATATATCCAAAGGATTGCAAATCGTTCTACTATAAGGACACGTGTACACGAATGTTCATTGCAGCACTGTTTACAATAGCAAGGACCTGGAACCAACCCAAATGCCCATCGACGATAGACTGGATAGGGAAAATGTGGCACATATACACCATGGAATATTATGCAGCCATCAAAAACGATGAGTTTGGGTAATTTGTGGGGACATGGATGAACCTGGAAACCATCATTCTCAGCAAACTGACAGAGGAGCAGAAGATCAAACACCGCATGTTCTCACTCATAGGCGGGTGTTGAACGATGAGAGCACATGGACAAAGGGAGGGGAGCACTACACACTGGGGTCAGTTGGGGGGAAATAGGGGAGGGACGGTGGGGGGGGGGGGACCGGGGGGGGGATAGCAGGGGGAGAAATGCCAGATGTAGGTGATGGGGAGGAAGGCAGCAAATCACACTGCCATGTGTGTTCCTATGCAACAATTTTGCATGTTCTTCACATGTACCCCAAAACCTAAAATACAATAAAATAAATAAATGGGAAAAAAAAATATGGAGACAACAGATGGTGGAGAGGATGTGGAGAAATAGAAACACTTTTAAACTGTTGGTGGGAGTGTAAATTAGTTCACCCATTGTGGAAGACAGTGTGGCGATTCCCCAAGGATCTAGAAATAGAAATTCCATTTGACCCAGCAAACCCATTACGGGGTATATATCCAAAGTATTATAAATTGTTCTATTATAAAGACACATGCACACGTATGTTCATTGTGGCACTGTTTACAATAGCAAAGACCTGGAACCAACACAAATGCCCATCGATGATAGACTGGACAAAGAAAATGTGGCACATATACATCATGGAATATTATGCAGCCATCAAAAACAATGAGTTCATGTCCATTGTAGGGACATGGATGAATCTGGAAACCATCATTCTCAACAAACTGACACAAGAACAGAAAACCAAATACTGCATGTTCTCACTCATAGGCAGGTGTTGAACAATGAGAACACATGGGCACAGGAAGGGGAACATCACAAATTGGGGTATGTTGCAGGGTGAGGGGTTAAGGGAGGGACAGCGGGAGTCGGGGAGGTTGGGGAAGGATAACACTAGGAGAAATGGCTGATGTAGGTGACGGGAGGATGGCGTCAACAAACCACCATCTCATGTGTGTATCTATGCAACAAGCCTGCAAGATCTGCACATGTACCCTAGAACTTAAAGTACAATAAAAAAAAAAGTAATTACTAAAATAATTTAGCTGAACTACTGTGTTCCTAAACAAAGCTACCATTTGTAACAACAACAACAAATTCAAAATGGCAACAGTATAAAATCATGTGCTGTAAGGAAACTTAACAAGTGAATACCTGAATTCATATTAACAAATTGGAGAGCTTCCTTTGCATAAACCTTTGCCTGTGAAACATAATTTTGATCTTTGCAAATAATTTTAATTTTCAAGCTAGGAAATTTTATGGATCACTAAATACATGTGTATTTTAATGTTACAAACTACAAAGTGTCATGCACACACACAACATTTTCCAGTCCACAAATGGAGAACATGTAATTTTAAATCCCAACCCTACAATCACATAAAAGTTTATGTAAAATTGAGAGTTTAATTTTTTTCAATTAAGGTCAGCTTTTCTTTCTTTTAAAAATTGTATCCTTCCTATCATATCATCCCATCCAAATAGATAAATAAATAAATAAAATGTGAGTACAAGGACAGCATCTGTTTTCTCGTGCCTTCTGCTAGGCTTTGTAAAAAAAAAAAAAATAAACATCCACAAATCTGTTTTTCCCAAAACTTAAAGCAAATCATTTCCACTTTGGAAAACTAATATTTACCTATTTAATTCTCACCTCGATAAAACTATGCATTTCTGAAATCAGTTTTGACATCTGGTTCTTTTTTCTAAGTCGGAAGCAGAAAAGATGGAGCTTATCTCCATCTTCACAGGGGATATTGTGACATTGTCCTGTCCCCACTACATCCATTTTTCCTCTGTCATCCTCAATTTCATAGGTTGTACTCTTCTGTTTTTCATTTACTTCTTTCTGTAATAGAAAATCAATATTCTGTTCCTGAGAATGTAATTAATAACAACCACATATAGAATAAACTCCCTTGTAAGAGAGTTAAGCAAGATACAGGACAGCAACTCCTAGTGCAGATATGTATAGGAGGCCAGATCTTTGCAGAGAGCTCTCCCTCAGTATCCTTTTTGTTTAAGTCTTTCATGTCTGAGGTATTTCTATAACAGGTCTAGAACATTGAGCTTTCTTTCTAGTTTCTATTGTTTTTACCCCCAGGGCAGCTATACTTCCCAACGTGCCTTGATACAGAAGAATCTGAAACCCCTGATAGCCTTTTGGGGCCTCTGGTCCGCTACAACTACTTATTCAGTGAATTATGAGGTATCTGTAAGAAAAAGCAACCTTCTAGTAACTCTCTAATGACTTTTTCTACCGTCTGCATTTTCTGAGTCTCTTCCAGTATTTGTACCCCCTCCTGAACCCAAGTCCTTGAGCTCAACCATTCCAGCTTTTTGCTCGTTACTCATCATTCTAGAAGGGGGTACATAAGAATCATCTCGCCGGGCGTGGTGGCTCATGCCTGTAATCCAAGCACTTTGGAGGCCAATGTGGGCGGGTCACTTGAGGTTGGGAGTTCAAGATCAGCCTGACCAACACGGTGAAACCCCATCTTTATTTAAAAAAAAAAAATATATGAAAAAAATCATCTCTTTTAGAGTGTGTACAGAAAGTAATTCAGGTTAAATAAAGAGTTGTTCCAGAAAACAAATATAATGAGTAGTGAACTATCAATCAGATAAGAAATTGCTTGAATCAATGGCAGAGGATGGATTTTTTTGGAGCTGGGGGTTGAAAGTCTCATACTAACTTGTTTCATGAATTTGAAAAGAACATATCAGGAAAAGCACTCTGTGCTCTATTTTTTGGTTACTTATATATAAACGACAAATTTAGATTACCCGATTTTCCAAGTATCATCAAAATTCATATTTCTCAATTGTTCAACTTATTTTTGATGAATTAGTTTACTTGGTCAGGACATTGTCTTGCTTACTTCCTGCATTTGTTTTTCAGGCATGAACAGTCGATTCATTTCTTGCTCTGTCATAACCAGAACTCAAGCCTTGGAGGACAATACTTCAATCAAAATGAAAATAATGTGATTTTTACTACAGTAGCGATAATAGTCAAAGGGATAAACTTAGTATTATGTGTGTATGGATCTAGACCTCACACTGTCCTTGGTCATTGGACTTAGCATAGATAATAACAAGTGATAAAATCTTAAGTTAAGGTTTCTCAATCATTGTAAAGACTAAAGTTTAATGCTCTGGGAAGGAGAACATGGGAAAGAAACATTAACAGGTCCCCCAATCCCAGTCATAACTTCAGAGATGGCTTTATCCACCTGTCATTAGTCTTGAGAGTCCTGGATTCTAACATCCAGTTTATAGGCAAAGCTTCATCTCACACATCAAGGCTTTTAATGTCAGGTGTTGGTGAAAAAATGAAACAAAACAATTAACAGGACTTACCTTATGTAGTGTAAATATCCCATATACAGTATTTCCTGAAGCTTGTTTGTGAAGAATATCAATCTTCAGAGTTTCCTTTGCTCTGCTGATGATTTTATTTGGAACTTCAAGCTGTTGGTCAGGACCAGCTTCAGATACAGAAGATCCTTCATTGACCTCTAGGAGATTATCATATTCCAAATAATCTGATATGGCGATGATTTTCTTGCCACTGAATTTCTCCTTCAAGTTGATGTTTAAAACCTTCACGTGGAAGAACTGTGTTGGTGTAGCCACTGTAGCATGAAACATCATTTTTTTCTCCTTTTCTGGGGTCTCATATCCAAATGGCTTTGTTGCACTCAGTACCTTCACTATCATTGGGCCCTTTTTGGGAGCATTTCTTCTGGCAGTTACCTGACGTTTGACCACTGGTTTTGGGCTCTGTGTATGACAGCACAGGAGAACAAAGAAAAATGTCTAACTGAGAAATACAGAACTGCTATTCAGTGACCTCAGTGATAACACAGGACCCCAAAACTTGCAGAGATGTTTAGAGCTGGAGTCAGGGTAGAGAGGGATGGCTAGCCAGGGCAGAAGATAACTTAAATTGGTATAATAGCAAGAGGAAGTCATAGAGGAGACCATATGGTGAAAAGACGACCTTTCTCTAAACAAAATCATCCTTAAGAAGTAAAGCGTAAGAGCAACACAAGACCAGTGGATACTAAAAACTGTCATGAACTACCTTAAAATAACTTTTAGGGCCAGGCGCCGTGGCTCATCCCTGTAATTCCAGTACTTTGGGACACTGAGGCAGGTGGATCACCTGAGGTCAGGAGTTTGAGACCAGCCTGGCCAATATGGTAAAACCCTGACTCTACTAATAATACAAAAATCAGCTGGGTGTGGTGGCGGGCGTCTGTATCCCAGCTACTTAGGAGGCTGAGGCAAGAGAATCGCTTGAACCGGAGGCGGAGGTTGCAGTGAGCCGAGATCATACCACTGCACTTCAGCCTGGGTGACAGAGCAAGACTCCGTCTCAAAAACAACAACAAAAATAAAAAATAAATAATTTTAGAATGAAATAATGAATTACACTATTTCTCTTGCCAGCTTAAAGTGCTAAAGCCTAAAAATAGACAAAGTTAAATGACACTTAAAATGAAAAGTGGTGCCCACCACAAACTGTAGACTTTAAGAGTGTTCAGTTATCACCAGTGTAGACAAGGCAATTTTGAGAGCACACCTCATAGTGTCCCTGCCTAAGATTCAGTTAACTTACAGCAGGTGAGAACACGTTAAACCCCTCAGAATGCCATCATCCCAGTCGGCTCAGGCTGGAGACACTACAGTGCATTCCCACCACCGTAGCCTTTCTCAGTGTCAGGGCTCTTGCTGCTAGCATACTAACAGAAACCTGGGGCTCACAGTGGCTTTCCTTCAATATCTTTTCTCTGGAACATCTTGGTCTCCTTGGATTGCAATACAACACTTTTAATGAAGGGGAGGTTGTTTAATCTATTAAAAAAAAGTGCTGAAGGCATGGATGACCTCATTCACAAACTAGCAGGTGCTGGAGAGGTCTGACATGGGATACTACAGTGAGCCAAGGGAAGTGGTATGAAGGAGATGAGAGCAGTAGACGGTGAGCCCACAGCTGACAGTTGTGTACTCCACAGCTCTCTCTCCCTTCCCCACACAATACAGGACAGAAAACTTCCTGAAGTCAGAGATAATGCCAAGTTCATCGAGTATCCCTGTAGATGCAATAGATTAAAATTTCTCAATACGTACATTCGATTAACTAGTAAATTATTGACGCAATTTAGTAACAGATGAAATCATTCCTGTACTTTGGGTTGAAGAAAACCAAGCAAAGGGGGACCAGGAAGAGCGTACCTCGATGGAGAAAGCGTTGGGTGGAGCTGATGATGAGGGCTGGGGAAGTGGGGAATGGCCCACAGCTGTGAACACGCTGGCTCCAGCAGGACAGGGAGGCTGTATCTGCTCCTCCGACATCTTACTCTTTTTGGTTTCAGACTTTTTTTTTTTTCCTTTCTGCAAGTAGTTTGATTTTTCTGTTATTCATTTTCAGTGCCAATTGAAGTAGAGCACATTTTCATTATTGGGTAGCAGTTTTATGATACCTAACAAGATGCTTCTTGTAAACTTGAGAGGGTGCTGCCCATCTCTGGCCAGCTGTGAGATGTGGGAATAGGTAGTTTCATTAAACAAAGAGGAGAATCTTATGCACATTATTTCTCAAATTATTTCTGTTATGGGACGTGCTGACTTGGGATTAGAAAAATTAGGTTTTTATAAACTAGGACAAAGTATTTACTTTTCTCATGCTTACAATCCTCTCTACCAGAACAAAGATATCACATATATGTTATATATATTGGCATTATGTTTACTTTTGTGTTTGGCTCACTCCTTTGATCATCAATAAGATGATCAATTATCATACAATTTGGTAAATCTAAAGCTTGATGGGAAACAGGAAGAAATAACTGTCTGCTCGAGAGGTTGAGTGGAAGAGCCATACAGAACTTCCTCTGCGGGACTTGAATCTTGCTCCTCTTCCTGAAGCTTACCTGATCTCCAGGAGTTGCCTCTGCTCCTTTAGCTTTGACAGTGCTGATTGCGGAGGGTGCAGGTACAGCAGGATCCATTTCCTGCTTCCTCTTTTTTGATGGGGTTTGTCCTTGTGCTGGAATACATTCAATTTTATTCACAACCAATGCAGAAAAAAGGAAGATACATGAACGATCTCCGACAGCTGAAGCAGTTTCAACACAATTTGCTCTCACTTCCTGCTTGAGGGTTCAGCTGTGCTTTAGTCTACGTCTACCGCGTTAGCCCAGCCTGGCCTCAAGGAGACCAGCAGTCACAAGACCGGCACGGATCATGCTCCTCTGCACTTTCCTCACTCCGCCCCTGTGCACTGAGCACATGCTTCCTGTGCTCTGAACTCCACGTGCCTCGGTCAACCCTTTCCCAAGTTAAAATTTAAAAATTTTTAAAGTTTTAACAACTGTTTCCATGACGCGGACTGCTTGGTCACGTTCCCCAGGTAAGCTATTCCAATTATAGAAACCAGTGAAAGGTTTCCATGAGGCAGGATATACTTACTTTGGACTTAGACTTTTTAAAATCCTTTTTTTAACTCAATGCAACAGAGGAGAGATCATATTTCTGAGAGGCAGTCTCACATTTAAGTACTGCATTTTTAAAAATTATACAGGGTAATGCTGGGTTAAATAGTCTCAATAGAACAGATACATTAATTGGTTAAATGTGTATATCTTGAATTTAAACAATTTTTATGATTTTATCATCATATAATCTTTCTAATGTACTGGAAGTCTCAGTCCCCCTTCAACTCCCTCTCACTTTTGTTCTTCCACTAATCCCAAACACAAACTCTGAAATACATCAATGCACACTAGTAATGGAATGCACTAAATCGTCAACTCTTGGCATCTGAGGTACCAGCATTGTCTCAGCTGTTGAGTCACAAACTGGAGAAAACACATATCAACTGTAACAGGGTGGGGCTCTAATCAAGGTTGGGAAGGATTTGGGGATGGCTGCAGGGAGTCGGTGTTCCCTCTTCCCAATTACCTTTTAACTTCTCTTTTTTAAGAGTTTCAGCAAAGTCTCCAAGTGTTGGTATTTCTTTGATGATTTGTATTAGTTTGCCCAAACCAGCATCACCTGGGAACTTTTCTTCCAGCAAGTCAGCAATCTGAATTTTGTCATACTCGTCTCTCATTTTTGGATTAAGTTTCAAATCGCTGCTCAGTAAGGACTTAACCATTCTAAAATGATAATCGTTGATGCCCTCTAATCCTTTTAGTAGAACAATGTTCTTGTATTTTTTCCCCATCTTTGCAGATATAAGTGAGCCTACAAGAGAAAAATGGCATACAGTGTTACACATATATACAGACCATTTAAAAGAACATGAATGTCGGGCCGGGCGCGGTGGCTCAAGCCTGTAATCCCAGCACTTTGGGAGGCCGAGGCAGGTGGATCACGAGGTCAAGAGATCGAGACCATCCTGGTCAACATGGTGAAACCCCGTCTCTACTAAAAATACAAAAAAACATTAGCTGGGCATGGTGGCACGTGCCTGTAATCCCAGCTACTCGGGAGGCTGAGGCAGGAGAATTGCCTGAACCCAGGAGATGGAGGTTGCGGTGTGCTGAGATCGCACCATTGCACTCCAGCCTGGCTAACAAGAGCGAAACTCCGTCTCAAAAAAAAAAAAAAAAAGAACACGAATGCCTGTGTGAGTGAGTGGCCCATATGAAAGAGTTGTTCATGAATATGTGTAATAAAGAAGGACTTAATGACCGAATGTGCTACTGGAGAAATTGAGTGAAAAACTCCTGTGTTAGGAATGTCTAAGAAATTCTTCTCATTGAATGAGGATAGTGGAGTTGGTTCCATGTGTTAGAGGGACGTCTGAGAACAAACAATTGTCTCAGTGTTTAGAGTATTGGCTATGCAGTGTCAAAGCACTTGGTTTCTCTTTCTATCCTTTGTTGGGGCTGGAGCCCATCCCCCAAAGCCTGCCTGTTGTTTCTTAAATCTTCCCACTATGACTGAAGCGGCCTATATGTAAATGGGCTGCAGCCTCCCACCTTACATGAATAACCTTCTGCTACAGCACCACAGTTTCACGCTGGGGCACCAACCCTATTCTTGAATCTTCCCTAGTTGGCTCTCATTAGCATCCTCCCTTCTTTGGTGCTAGACCATGGCTTCTGTTTTCCGTATCCATAAAACCGTCGCTTTGCTGAAAATCCGCATGCTTTCCAGTGCAGCATCACAACATGTATTCACTGGAATTACTTCACTAGCTGTTTTATTTTTCTTCTTTCAGACTTGTCTATTTCTTTTCACACAGCCAGCTTTCTCTCTATAAGCCGCACTTCTCTTCCACTGAAATCCTTCTATTATTTCTCCTTTTTCTTTCCAAAAATTCCTTGCTTCCTGTACTGTCTCAGAGAGCGTTGAATAAGCTGCATCATTTTTACTTCTGGTACCTTCGTATTCCTCGTATCTCTGCTCCACAAAGATACAACACGCCTTACATCTTCGTGCCTCATGACTTTGCTTGTTCCTTCTTATTGCCTGGAAAGCCATTCCCACATTTTTTTCTTTGACTACTTCCCATACAAACTTAAGACTCAGCTGTGGCTTTGTCTCCTGGTAGATTTTAGAATCCTCTTATGGACAGAGTGTCACTCCTCTTGGCCTTTTAACATCTGTGCACTTCCATGATGACACTTAGTGCATGGTATGGATTCCAGTTTCTTTTTAAGTTAATGAATGTTTTAAGATTATGAATGATGTCTTTGTGTACCTTTTGTATAACCAAGATATTTAAATTTCTGGGGCTATTAACTGGGCCAGGCATGGTAGCTTACACCTGAAATCCCAGCACTTTGGGAGGCCGAGGCGGGTGGATCACGAGGTGAAGAGATCGGGACCATCCTGGCCAACATGGTGAAACCCCGTCTCTACTAAAAATACAAAAAATTAGCTGGACATGGTGGCACATGCCTGCAATCCCAGCTACTTGGGAGGCTGAGACAGGAGAATCGCTTCAACCCAGGAGGAGGAGGCTGCGGTGAGCCAAGAATGTGCCATTGCATACCAGCCAGGGCAACAAGAGCGAAACCCTGTCTAAAAAAAAAAAAATACAAAAAATTAGCCAGGCGTGGTGGCACGTGCCTGCAGTCCCAGCCGTTTCAACCTGGGAGGTGGAGATTGCAATGAGCCAAGATTGCACCACTGCACTCCAGACTGGGCCACAGAGCGAGACTGTCTCAAAGAAAAAAAAAAAAAATTGCTTCCTTTGTTAGCTTCCGTCTTACGAGAACATGAGTGTCCTTGGATTGAAAAGTTCCAAAGAAGGAGGGGCAAATCTACACAAAAACACATTATAGTGATACTGAAGGATATAATAAACAAAAATACTCTGAGAGCCCTCAGAAATGAGAAATAGATCAGCTACAAAGATTCAAGAATCAGATTGAGAGTGATTCTCAGTAGCAAAACTGTCTGAAGCAGGACAATGGAGTCATTTTTATGTAATGCTGGTCTAAATTTCCATATCAATTACGAAACCAAAAAAAAATTTTTAATGGAAAGTTTTGACTTATTTTGTGAGTGTGACAACACAATTTATTTGCAAAATGAAAAGAGATTGGAGGTGACGGTAGGCTATGTATAATCTTTATTTCACTTAAATGTGAACCTTCACATGTTTTGTGCAATATTACTGCTTTTGATTTTGGAGTATTTATATGCCACTGGAGTTTCTAGTAAGACAATATTTAGAATATATATACTAAACAGCCTTTCTGAAGCCTCCAGATTCTTTATTTCAAAATATGTCTAGCTCCACAGTTACAGGAGAGGGGCTTTCATCTTGTCTTGAGGGAAAATATAATTTTAAATTTAGAATTTTAATTGAGGCAAAATGATATTTAAACAGAAGAGTCTCAAAAACTATCATCTGATACTCAGGGCCTTTTTGCAAGACAAAGACTCATACCACACAAAAAAAATCTATTGAAAATAATATTTAATAAGAAAACAATAAAATTTAAAATGCTGTCAGCCAAAAGATAGGAAAAGCGAAAAATATTCGTGTGCACGTGTCCTTATAGTAGAACTATAACGACACATGTACACGAATGTTCATTGCAGCACTGTTTACGATAGCAAAGACCTGGAACCAACCCAAATGCCCATCGACGATAGACTGGATAGGGAAAATGTGGCACA